CGAATCCCGGGTCGACTCCCGCCCAGGCCAACCAAGCCTTCTACCCTCCGGGGACGGTAAATTGGTACCAGCCTTCTACCCTCCGGGGACGGTAAATTGGTACCAGATTCGTCTGGGAGGATAAAACACTGACTTGTACATCGGCTGGCCACCGCAAGTCATTGTATAGGCCACATCGCATTCAATAAGCCACTACGATTCTGAATGGAAGTAGAATGCGTGCCGCATCCCACAAAGGGATTGATCAACGGCGAAGACTTTATCCTTTATCCTTAATCGCAAACTAGTAAAAAATAAAGTGCGTCCAGAGCGGTAGACAGGCACATTTCCAGGTAACAGATGTATGAGCTGTCACTTCCGTAATGGGGAAAGCACTAAGGAGATATAGTGATGTAAAAAAGGAAAGCGGTCAGCCAGCTCAGCAACGTCAGCCCACATTCTACAAGACTCTTCAAAAAGCTGAAGCCCCTGCAGAGCTACTGAAGCCCTTGAATGAAAGTTGCCCGCATCACTCAAATGCCTGTCATTCTGAGTGGGGTGCAGCAATGTTCACGCCGACCTTCTAAAAATGATTGAGCAGCCTCTGCAGCTTTAGCTTGCAGGTACTCGCTGATTGGCGAGCGGTGGAAGAGGTGAAGGAAGGCAGCGTGGTATTGTGCGTTTCTCATTTGAGATGCGTCTCCTGGACTCAGAATCGCATTTGATTAGGTTTTAGCCGGGAGACGCGAAAATCTGTGATCTATCTTCTAGGCAAACCTTGTTTCAACTGATGGCTTTGAGTGACAGAGCTATCATGGCTCGGACAAGATTTGATCCAAGCTCTGCACCTCAACGATGTGTTGCTAGGCAGAAGTACTGTCTTTTTCAGTGTAACCGTAAATGAGGTATTTGGAAAGTACAGGATAGCATAATTTCGCTAGTTTTGAATGCCTTGAATGTTGAATGCATGACAACCTGAAAAAACGTTTTGTGCTTATTTTGAGACAAAGCGCTTCCTAAAAAGCGCATCCTAATCGTATGGGTGGAGTCCGCCCTCCATTGTGTCGCTATTGGTACCCCTCTCCTTTCTGGGACACTGAACTGGATAGGGCTACTTTTCGTCCATCCGGTCAACGTGAATTGCTTTTCAAAACACATTCACTTCTCACTGTCTCCCATGAGCAGTGGTATAATCACTGATACTGACATACATCTCATTGGCAGATGCACTGGAACCTCCTCGAGTAGCACGAGTAAAGCTCAAAACTTGTTTTAGCAGACACACTTTTTTCATGTCATGCTAATTTATTATATTTGCACCTGAACAATTCGCATCGAGATATGGAAAAATGGTTGGTCAGTGCGACCCGTCAGCTCCCTCCATCACCACTGCCTTCGACCTATAAGCAGCAAGTCACCTACCCTCGCCACATAAACTACTGATTCACCGTTGTGGGAGCTGTCAGCCCAGAGAATTTGTGTGAAATTCTCAAGATCCACAAAGGTGAAATCCACAAGAAAAATGAAATCTTTTATTCTGTCTTTCAATATACATACAGAAGTGTGTCCTTCCTAGGGTTTCCTCTCCATCGTTCCAGGATCTGATCTCTGGATCATGATAAGTTGGGGCGAGTTCGGGCTTCAGACTATTTCTCCCCCACGGTTTCAAAAGCTAAAAAGTCCGTTCATCAGTCTCTTCTTGGGACACGGCACGAAACCTACTACTGCTCAGGATCGTGGTGGCATTTCGAATTCGATATGGTTCTTACAATGAGTTGCAGGAGCCAGCCGATGCATAATGTACATATGTGATGAAGTCAGTGTTCTAATCCTCCCAGGCTAATATGGTACCAATTTACCGTCTCGAAGTAGAAAGCATGGTTCATCAGTCAGTCAGTTAGCATGAGCATGGGCAGCCGGAATTTTGTTTCCTAGACCACGCCCATAGTAAGCAGCACGATGCCACAACCCTATCTCCGCTTGACCCAGGATTGTTTCCACAAGTAAAAGCCAGAAGAAATCAAGAAAGCAATAATGGTTCTCAAAGGTTTCATGGAGATTCGACGTGCTCTCTAACTTTTACCTTAATCCACCAACACATTGGTGACTGCATTAGCCTTATAAATCAAGTTATGGAACTGGCCAAGGATCATCAGGATTTTTTCTGCTCGTAGACGGGAAGAGAAACTTCAGGCTGATGACGAGAAGTGGCATCTCGTGCAGGGTCAAAGGGAGTTTTCTAGTTACTGTCATGACCACTATTACCACTTTTTGATCTTTAATATTATTATTATCTAAACCTCAATATAATCGATTCTCCTTACTGCGAGACAGGGAACAGTCGCCGGGGGAGGGGGAGGGGGTATCTGGTCTGACAAATTTTTTCGATGGCTGATCTTTCTTGTTTCACGGGCGCTATAAGGATGGGGGGGGGTCGTATTTGCTCGTTTTTGGGAGAGCGATGGGGTCGTTTTTGCTTTCTGAGAGAAATTTGTGGCGTTGGGAAAAACTGTGCTCGATTGTTGATTTTTCGTGGTTTACCTCTTTTATCGCATGTACTGTATACCTCCCCTCACCCACCGCTCGATAACTTCAGAGGAAGGAATCAGGTCAGGGCGATTCGTTATTGGGGACTCCTCAACAGGAATGGGGGGGTGATATTTCCCTTCTGACCATCCAGGACAGGCTGCTGACTTTTTGGGTTTTTTTATGTTTCATGTGTACATGCTTGATTATCCTCCCCCTTCCCTCCCTCTCCACAGCTCGATGACGAAGGAATCAGAGGGAGTCGTGAAAACCCCCTTCCCCCTGCCCCAAAAAAAGCGGTACGGACTCGACCGAAATCCCCAGCCAATGATGTGTCCTGCTGCGAGACGAGGGTTCAACACCATGTTCTGATTCTTTTCACTCTTAAAAGATGTTGTGCTATTCCCAGACAGACTCGGACTCTGCTCGAAATACAGCAGAGAGGGACCATATCTGAGAGTCCGGTACGCAGTGGTGCTGTCTGCCAGTGGGAATAGGAAAAGCCTGTAGGAGCCGGGACTGACTTCACCACAAACATGGTACATCGGCTGGCCTCCGCAACTCATTGTATAGGCCATATCACATTCACAACGCCACCACGATCGTGCTAGGTAGTAGAAAAGTGCGTGCTGTGCCCCTAAAAGAGACTGATGAACAGACCATGTTTTTTTTTAGTTTCTTGAACCGTGGATGGACGTAATGTTTAAAGACCTCGCCTCAATTGACTACGGTCCAGGGACCGGATCCGGGAACGAGTACCTCCAAGCAACTAACATCTGAATACTGCCTGGTTCGGTTTCAAGTGGCACCAGCTCATCTGAGAGGACAAGACGGCCAGCGATTCCACTGCGACATCTGTGCAGGTCCTTGTAAGGGCCATATCTCACTTAAGATGCTATTGCGATTTGAAATAAAAACCGACTGCGCAGCGCATTGCAATTACTAGGCAACTCCAACGCCGATTATTCTTAACGCATAAGTGCAGACTGCACCCAAAGGGTCGTTCATGCAGGAGAAACTGCGAAGATTAATTGCCTGAGATCATCATACTTTGAGCAGCCACCAGGAACTTAAACATCATTGATGTAGGTTGCGATGGTATGAGATCAATCAACGGTCTAGGTTCGCTGTCATTTCTAAGTAAGATTCCTAGACTTTACTGCAGCTATACGGAGAATGAGCGCTTCATAGTTTACATAACATCACACAACTTCCTACTGATTCACATGAAAACTGAGGGTACATGCCTCGATTGGAAGGTTCATCGGAGGGCATGAGCATGTCTGATTGTTTAGTGGATCATTCTATCGAAGTGAACTTCCCGTTAAGGAGAAGCCCGTAACAGAGCGCAACGAAAGCAAAGCTGGATTGGGCCTGAGTCCATAGTACTTCTATCAAAGCTTGAAGTTTACCAGAAGCTGCCGTCGGAATCGATTTTGGAAGCGTAAGGGATTGATCATTGATGCCCCCCAAAGGCAGTCCACTCGCTCAAGCAGCTTTTGGGTGTCCTCCCTTGTACAAGTAGTCTGGCCCTCGGTCTCTGAGATTATCCCACTTTTTCTGCTTAACAACAAGTAATGAAGGCGCTGCGGTTATCATAAATGGCAGTTATAACGCCTCCTCATTGTCCTTCACACCAAAACTCAAGGGCTTTTCGCTGTCACGAATTTACTTCTTACTTTTGCGCTTTGTAGACAATAAGATGGTATTGGATGATAAGAAGAAACGTTTAGTGAGCCATTGGCGGCAGGATATCGCTTTTCTGGCATAAAACAAGCTAGTACGGAAATTTCGTCCGGCAAGGTTGCCGGGTCCTTACTTAGAGTATTCTCCATATTCTCCATGATTTTTTTTTGCTTTTGTCTTCCCTGTGAAGTCACTTAGCGGCTGTAAGTTTGAGAATGAACGCCACTGTCCACAATATACAATCGCAGGGTTTGTCATTAGGGCTATCTTTGGCTCCAACTGTTCGTTTCCGACGAAAACTTCCCCTTGAGTCGGACGTCACATTTACGAGATTTTTGTTCATGGTGTGTCGGAGCTGCGGATTCACGTCCGTTGCCGACGCTGCTGTGGACGGCGTAGTTGTTGGTGTAATGTGTTTTGTCGAAGCTATCTTTACGTAGGGTGGGTGTGTGTGATTTCGCACTGAAGAGTGAGATACACCCCCATCGATGAGAGCCTAGGAGAGGGAAGATGTCGTGACACCATGTGAGAGTGTATCAATGATCCAGAGGCAACTGACATTACTGGAGGTAGCGGAGGTGAGTATACGGTATACATCCGTCATTTCTCGATGAAGAGAGTGCCCTGCATCGAGATGTACTAGAGAGAGAACGCGGCGGCGCCGTAGGGGCGCTGGTGGCGTGCGTGGGGCGTGGCGAAGGGTTGGAGGAAAGACTAAGCTCGCGAGCGCCTGGCTAGCCCCAGAATCAGTACATCAGACTCCTCGTTGTTTGCGGCTGCACTACTCCTGTTTCAACACTACTGCCAAAATGGACGCCATCAAGAAGAAGATGCAGGCGATGAAGATCGAGAAGGTACATTGATGTACTGCTATGCGTATAATTATGCATGTAGTTGCTATTCTTATTATTCCTTTTAATGGCTTTTCGGTGTTCCATAAATGGTGCATAGATGGCGTTCGGTGTCTTTCTACCCATCATGTACGCCATAAATGCAATCTCTAACCTGATTGGGGCGGTAGTCAGTGCGAATCACGTTCGCCAGCTTGTTTCTTCTCCTTTTTTGGGCGTGGAGATCTCCCGGTCACTAGCGCCGTTAGCTGAGGTCGATGATTAGCCTGCGCGGATATTCAGTTCAGTTTGATCCAAACCGCACACCCTGCTCTGCTTCTCTCCATAATACGCTCCCATAAGATGTAGATGTTTTGATTCCGGTTTATGTGATGGCTGTGAAGCAGCGCGATGAGCGAGGAATAGCGATGATTCAGCATATTTCTTTTTATCGCGTCGAGAATTCCGAGAAACATGTGGGCAAATGGTATTTCCACGGGAATGACTTTCTCGTCACAGTTATTTCCCCTGCCACTGAACAATCGAGGGCTAGGAAGGTGGGAGGCAATGCAGGGTTGAAAGCAGTGTAACATATAGAGCGCGAGAGGTTTCGATCCTTACAACATATGGAGGCAATCCGCGACTTTTCGCCCCTGTCGGAAGCTTTCAGACTGCGAATGCTGTGGGCGCAACAGTGATAGAATATAAAAAGAAGAACGCGTTCCTTGTGGATCTTTTGCAATTTCCAATTGGAACACAAACCGCTTGGATGCGATAGAAAAGGCGTCCATCAAAAGCTACACCGTTCGTGTTTTGGGCAGGAAACCCCGTTTGGAGAGGCGTTCAGCAGTCATGTTCGAAAACGCCATTTCATTATTTAGTTGTATTATTTCAGGACAACGCTCTCGATCGAGCCGATGCCGCCGAAGAGAAAGTCCGTCAGATCACCGAGAAGTTGGAGCGAGTTGAGGAAGAACTCCGCGACACACAGAAGAAGATGATGCAAACAGAAAACGATTTGGATAAGGCCCAGGTGCGATTTTTCTCACTTATAAATTTGAAAAATAGAAGACATTTTTAAAAAACATCAGTTCTTTTCTGGCTCAATTGATCGTCCCGACGTTTCATGGGGTTTTATATAAGTATCGTACTATTAGATCCTGAACTCTTGCAAGATCAGATTGTCAGAGTATGGGCCTATAGTGAATACGGCGATCCTACCCATCGGATGAGGATAAGGGGGAGGGGGATAACGGACAATAGGAACGAATACCATCCTCAGAATCCCCGACTTCTAGGCTGTAACCTCAAGTGCCACATTCAAAGGAGTTTTTGGTTCATCACAACGAACTGGTTAGACCTGCCTTCACCGCAGGCTCATCTAAAGAGATTCCCATTGAGCGGATATGATCGTTTTTATGGTGCAACACTCTCAGAGGTCAAACTACAACCTTGAGGCCATTTGATGATTCATATATCTCTGTATAGCATTACAATATTCTTTCCTCATTCCGGGGGGGGTAGTTGGGGTCGCGATCATTCGCTTAGGGCATGGAGATCGTAGCTGGTTAATGTTGAGTGGCTTCACTTTTTCATAGTTGACGGCTACCGACTGAGGTTTGTCATAAGATATTTCCCATTCCTTCTCATTCCGCTCGACGCATGTTGGGAGAGGGGTCGTGTCTGAAGGCAGGGGTGGGATTCGCTCGTATGGAGTAACACTATAAATATATTCGTGAGGTTGTGAGATACCCAGGCCTAAAGTACTCATGGGGATAGTTGAGCAACCCTCGGTAACTTATCTGAAAGCCATGCATGGTCATAGCCTACTCGGAATTATATTGTGTGATAAAAAGAGTTGAGTAAAGACAAATACGTAGTACTCTTCCGCTTCTTTCTCTATCAATCGATTCAAATGGCATCCATCAAAACAGCCTCATTGGGCATGTTCAGAATAATGAAGCGAACAGATGCACGCTATTTCTTCACATAGAACCATTCGTAAAAATATTCGTGGAATATTTTCTTCGTGTACATTGGCATAAAAATTATTCATATGATCGAATTACAATAGGCTCCCAACCATTTTTATTGGAGAGGTATGAACATGCTTTTCTACATGTGCCTCTTTGGAGCGGCCGTTAGACAATTGTGGTGCTTCTTTTCGGGGAATATTTCGGCGTTATGGTAGCCCTGAGAGCTTGGAAGGCAGCCCATCTTATTGTAAGGGTGTGGAGCTCCACTTCCCGTTCGCGGGGCATCCCAGTTCGAGTTTATTGAAAGATAGTTTTGGCCCCTGGGCTAGAAGTGTATAGGTCTTGGCGGCGGGCGTCTACGTGAAGACCAACCGGATTGTAAACTGTGACTAAGGAAATAGCCATACTCACCAAATTAGGTAAATGGAGTTTTTAAGTATTAGCACAATCCCACCGAGGTATCGTGCTCGTAAATGCTTGGTCACTAGCTAGTTGACAGTCAACATCAGCACTTAATCGCGTCATATCACTTCATTATGGCAGTCCTAGAACATTAGTCATTTATTATGACAGCCTTGGTTACAATCAGTAAGCTTCGTTAACATGTGAGGTTCCCCACTGAACGTGCTGTGTCAACTAGCCCAGCAATGATGTCCCTGTACAACTATTTCGCCAAACCCGGGTAGTTCTGAACTAACATTCTTGAAATGGCCGGTGTCGGTATGCGCCCATCTAGAAAATGAAAATATCTCGTTAACGACTCCCTTCCGCAACCTCCCGCTTCTTAAGACTCCATGATTTAATCCGCACAACGATGCACTTCACCTGGGAAACAAAGAGTGGAAGAGAAAGCACTTGATTTTGGTCTTTATAAGATGGAGATATCAGCCTCTGAGATTCCAGTGATATAGTCGCTGGCTAAGACTGCCTGGAAGCCCTCTGTTCGGTCCCCACATGTTTTCCAACTAGACGTAAGCCCGTGGTCCATTTTGACGGGGAACAGTATGTAATAGAAAACTACTATCACTAGCACGTGCGGAGTAGTGCAGTGTAGGGCTTCTGGGACGGTGATACCAACAGGAGCGATGTGATTTGACGGGGATACCGTGGAAAATTGTAAGATTTAAGCGTTTTTCCTGCATCTTCTAGACTGAATATCGAACCAGGGAAAAGGGGCCAGTTAGCAAATTTGATGAGGCTAGGATCTGTGTGGCTGGATGCGTCAATAAAGTGGGAACCTTATAGCTGGCGGGGGGGGGGGCAGCGTTGATGAAACCTGGAGCATGTTCCACAACCTGATAATACTGGCTGTGGTGGTGGATACTCCAGTCGGCATCCTAAATGAGTGAAACCATAGTGTCTGTATCCAAAATTTTGCGGCAATTCACTCGACTGTGGACGCGAACAACTGTTGAATAGAATGCTTATGCAAATAAGGGTTAGCGCTGGTCGATCACTGGAATAATTATCAGATAGAAGCCACAAAATATCAATGGTAGCCTAGTTTATAACCCCATCTATACGAGCTATCTACTCTAACGCTTTATGGCCTTGGTAGGCCGGGGTTTTGATGAAGAGAGAAAGAAAAAAGGCATTTGCTCTCGTGTGAAGGATGTAGCCTGCACGTAATGTCGAGTTTGCGGATGTGGATTGCTACTGGCTTGAGGAAGCTGCTGATTCTTGAACAGGTACCTTCTCATACAACAATCCACAATCCCGTGCAAATTTGTGACGGCACGACACTATTTAGACGCTCATGGGTCTCAGAAAGCGAAGTCAAAGCGGACACCCTGGGCACCAATCGATGTGCTGGGAATCCTAAAGACAAGAGTGGTAATTTGGTCGGCGAGGAGAGAAGGGAAGGCCGTAATGTTGAACTGAGAAAAAATTTAATTTTTGACGCGTGATTTTTCTTTAGCTCACGGACCGTTGTAAAAAGAGGGGGGGGGGTCGTACTTCTCGTTGTGGGGAGGAGGGGAGATAGCAAAGTTAAATATCTAATTTCTGGCCTTACTGGTGAGGTAGTTGACTTTTCGGATTTTCCTGAGTTTCATATGTAACTTATATACCCCACCTCGGCCTCCCGCCCCCCTCCGCTCGGATAGAGGAGAAGCAGTTGGGGCCGAAAGGGAGTAGTACCAAACCACCACCAAAACAAGGGGAGGGGGGGGGTCGAACGGACTCTAACCAATGGTGCCTTTGCAAGCAGGACAGGTTATCCGTTGGGATTCCCAGAAAGGCTAGGGTGGCATTTGGTCACTAGAGGGAGCGGGAACCGTACATAGCCTTTCGCATGAATGCTTTCGGTTTTGACTCTCAGGCTCGTTTTTTATTTCGGCAGTTTCCAGATTTTTCAAAATAAGCTACTTAATCCGCTCCCCATTCACGCCCTCCACCCGAGGGCAGTTCTTTGGGAGAAATTTAGAGACCCTGGTAGGCGGGATACGGTAGGGGAGCGGACCATCCATACCAGAAGGGAAACTTTCGAGGGGACTCGTATTCAGCAAAAATTTTCCCCAACTGTGGGGGTGCCCAGATTGCATGCAGAGAACCTGCGCGGCATTCGCACCAGGACCTAATGGATTTTGAAGGAAAGGTTTCAGTATACAAACAACGCTGAAGGGTCCAAACACGTTTTGAACTTTGATGTAACGCCATCCTAATTCTTCAGAATGGGTAGAAAAAATAGCTATCCAAACCTCTCCCACTTCAGTAGTCTGAGCACATTCCCTAAGTCGGCAGAGCTATATAAAGGTTGATTGAATAAGAATTATACGCTTTTTAGCAAGGTAGAGCATAATGCTAGATGAAAATAAACGACTACGAAGGTTCTTCCCAAGCCTGGGTGGGAAAGAACCCCGGTGTAAGGCAAACTGGTCCCTTCGTACAAAAGGGTCACGGTTCTCAGGCCCTTGAAGTTCTTCGGGCATACAAAAATGTTGCGCCTAATGTGCCTACCTGTGTCTCTATATTTTGAAACCGATTGAGAGTGCTTTTGTACGTCGTTCATTGCCAATATTTCAGGAAGACTTGGCGGCCGCTACCAGCCAATTGGAAGAGAAGGACAAGAAAGTGCAGGAGGTACGTGATGTTCTGTCTAATTACTGGTACCCTAAGGATACCAGTCATAGAGATTTTCCTTTGACGTTCACTTTCTCGGTTGAGTTTCCTCCTTCAACTGGAAGGTGGCTTGTTCAGATGTTTAGACAGGTGCGTTCCGAATCCTCCGCAAAGCATCACACGCACACACAATGCTGAGGTGAGACTGACTGCTCTTATTGACACCCGCAGATAATTGCCGTGTCTGGTTACCGTACCGATTCACTTCCGTGCGTGACCTTCTTGTAAATTGTTCGCAAGGCATCCAGATGTTCCAAAGATCCGCTTAATTTCCTTACTGAACTGCCAACAGGATATTTGAAGTGAAGCTCTACTGGTTGGGGTAGGGAAAATTGCTCTGCTGCAGGACCCCTCTCCCACGAGAATGGCTCGAGGATTGAACCTACTAACAGACAACTGAGTAGAGATGACGTAATGGCGACATCTCGCCCACGATTCCGGCCGAGATTTCTGATCGGCTGCCTCCTCCCAGGCCTGCCAGGCCTTCCATTTCACGAAGTATTCCCTCGGAAAACTGAAGCTCTAGCTTGCGCACGGTTGGTCTTGGACAGCTATTGTAGACTTTGGTATATTACTGCGCCCCTTATGGTTCCTACGTGGACAAGCTATATAATGGCTAGCACTTCGACTTGATCGTCCCCATCAAAGGCGTAGAGGAAGAAGATGAGGTTGAAAATTCAGGCCATTGACTTTTGAAAAAGACGATCACGTCTTGACCCTGGGCCAATTCATGATTTGTTGCACCCAAAATACTCAAAAGGCACAGCAATATTAAATAGTTACAACAACGCCAGAAAACTTCTTGGTTCTTTGGAGCCCCGTAACTCCATAAAGGATTCCAATTGTCAATATATGAGCTCCTGAACTAAGACTGATAAAGGATTAATGGTGAGGACTCTGGCGCTGATCAACCTCATCTGGGCCACACTTATTTCCAACCAGAAGTTTAGGAGCTTTTCAGCACAATATTCAGCAGGACCAATAGATTCTAGATAGATTTAGGGTTTCTATCATACCCAACTCGGTACTAGTAAAGTTACGCCGGGGAGATTAGAGACTTGGTCGGCTTGCTATCTGACACAGCAATTCATCCTGCACCGGGCCATGTCTGTGCCATTACCCCACCTCCTTTTACATCGACTGGATATTCTCCTATTTAGCTCAACTAGCTATCTCACGCTGTAATGATTAGAGCCCATGACAATCCCATGACAACATGACGATCCCTACGGTAGCTTTATTTCAAGTGAACTGACAGTCCC